AGTGAGGGGTAAGAAATAAAGTTGTTCCAGGCCTGGTTATGCAGAGACAGAGGAACCAGAGTGTTTTGGGGCTGCTGAGGTCAAAGGGACCATGCAGCTTGGTTGAAGCTGAGCTGTATGCCAAAATCCTGGAAAAAACAGATGAGTATCCCAGAAAGGAGTGTTACACTGATTCCTCATAGAGGGATTAGTTGTTATCCAGCAGTAGTTTCTTCACGGGGCAGAGACCTAGGAGTCAGACTTAACTCTTCTGCAAGAGTGTGGTGGACGAGGCAGGGGGCTGTGCTCTGTGCACACACTTCTCTTCCCTGCTTGGAAACCAGCTGGGGTGATGGGAGCCAAGAACTGCATCCCAAAGTTTCAAAGTTGGCTGAGGGCTCCATGTGGATTATATAGAAGAGGAGTGAGCATCACAACACRAGCAACACCAACCCTCAAATGGTCCTGGTCTCTCTCATCTCTGCTATCTGGGGTCACATGAGAAGCTCCAGTAAATCCATTTCCAGCCAATTCCTTAGCAAATACTCTCAAAAGTAGTTCTGTCATTGCAGCATCACCAGCTGCAGGGAAAAATCCAGTGGGATTGCTGGATTGACAAGCATAGTCAAACCCTTCAATCCTCACCTCTGATTTTCTCTCTATTATTTGTGGAAAACAGAGGAACAGTCCAGCTGTTCCTGGCAATTCTTGCAGGATTGAGATGCTGAGACCATCCTTTGCTTGCCAAAGCACTGTAACCCACAAAGGGGCCTCTTTTTAGAAGGATCAGCAGCTCTTCTTAGTTCTGGGCTTTATCTTCTTCAAACCAGTCACATCCACTGTGGTTTACACTGAGCTCAGGGCCAGATTTTACAGGCAGGTGTGTTAGGGAGGGTCTGCAGGAGCGAGCAATTCCTGGCCAGCATAATCCTCAGCTTAGAGAGGAATCCTTAAAATCCTGACACTTTATATTCCCAGGGAATGGTGCTGCAGGGATGGGGTTCAAGAGCTTATCCCCGTTACAAGCTTCCTTTCTGGGAAATGTCTACAGGCTGACAGGGTCTTACGAACCCCCATACAAATCAACATTGAAGAAACAGTTGGGCAGGGGGATCTTTGTGAGGAGAGCAAAGAAAACAGCATCCTGGTTTCTACTCATCTCATATGATAACATCCAATAACGATATAAATGTATAGATGGTCCAGTTGAGACAGCAGCATTTACTGAAGTYGTCCATCAACCACCACTCACATCCCTAACAAAGCAGGGGCCGTGTCTAGCCTCTGGGTGGGCGAGTTTATGTGTGAACAGCAAACAGCCTGTGAGACGTGATGGGAAAGGGCTTCCCACAACACACCCAGCGGAGAAAGAACCGCTTCCTGTCACTCCCAACAATCCTGTTGCACATCTCTGGATTGAACCGCGTCTCTCCTAAGCTTTCCAGGGAAGCCTCTGTAATTGCTACTTTAGCTGCTGTATTGTTTCTGCCTAGACTGAATGGGATGTTTGTAGGCAGCTTATTAAATCAGTCAAACGATTGTTGGTGGGATAGAGCACTCTCTGACAGGAGCCAGACAAAAATGGGTTTATTTTTCTCACCCCCAAGTACAAGCATATCTGGCTGATTGTATTTTGTGCAGCTGAATGCAGATCAGCTCCTGCACCCTGAAACTTTTACTCTTAGGTTGATAACAACTTGCAGGAATATCAGGAGATGCAAAAGATTCAGGTTTGAATGCAAGGGACTAAAGGGCAAGTTTCTGCTCCTGTGGTTTGAGAAAATACCCAGCCTCTGTCTTTCATACCCCACTAAAACAACTTGAAAGTTGCARGTGTCCTTATTTTTGTTACTTGACTTCATGCCTCTGTATAGCTTAAAATGCATTCAATACACAGCAGGTGAGCTTCTTTCTGACACTACATAGCTAATACGAAGAAAAAAAAAAACCCAAATGACCCAGTATATAATTTAGCTGGGGTCAAATGCTCCTCATCTCCCCATCGTCAGGACTTGGACTGTTGTCTGACCATTGCAAGAGAGGCAGTTCTGAATATGACAGCTACCTATGAGCCAAAATGAGGGGGACAACTTAGGCACACATCAGGGTTCTCATTTTTCTGATCTTATTGTTTATGGCCTCATTCTGGCCCTGGTTACATGAYGTGAACAAAAGAATCAAGGTGAAATCAGAGTAAAAATTCCTTTTCTTGAGGGAATATTTGGTCTCTTTTTTGCCTCCCCATGCAGGTGCCCACAGACACACAAAGAAACACACGTGGCTTTTGAGGCTGGCTCATGACAGGCAAAATCCACACCTGAAAATTAATGTAACTTAAAGCACTTTATAACCCACTGTGGGAAAATCTCACTATGCAGTAAAGTCATTTGTGATTTTTTTTTTTTTTTAGTTCCTAAGGGCTGAGATCTAAGGTCAGTTTACTCTCAGCTGCGAGAACTGCGTGTTCTTTAATGAATTAACTGACCTCATGCCATTCATGGCCTGTTTTTCTAACCTGCCCACACGTCCCAGGTGCAGACAAGCCCTCTACTTCCCAGGACACGTCCTGGGAACTTTGTGTTTGTCTTAATATCCTGATCAAAAACCCAGGAATATTTTTTTTTTTTTTTTTTTTGGTGAAGGGCAGTTAATCAGTTATTAGCAGTTATTATCAGATATTATCAGTCAATCTTTCCCCCTCTTTTTCCTCATTTTTTTTTTTCACTCACTGCACTCTGGCACATTCTTAAATGACAGCACAAATTACCAAGAAATGGGGCCATTACCAACGAATATTATCAGCTGAGTATGGAGAAATGCAACATTTCTGTACTACGCAACTAGTTACAGCGTGTGTGGGTATATGCACGAGTTGCACAAAAACACCCCCTAAAAACGTTACTTTTCTCACGCTTTTACCCTGTCACGGCTACAAACCCCTGTTTAAATCCCTGWCTAAATTAATACTGGATTAAAACTTCTCCTCCCCATTTGACTCCTTAAGCAGAGCCTTTTCTGGCTTTGCCTGCCACCCTCTTAGGGCTGTGACAGTCAGTGGAGGGGCATGGCTGCTCGCAGCTCGAAGCTACGTTTGCGCCCCGAATTTTGGAGGTTTTGGGAGTTTTCGAGGCCGGTTTCCACCCGCCCCCCTAGCACAGGTCGCGGCCGCCATGTTGCGGCCCTTGAGCGCACTACAACCCCCACAAGCCCTCGCGGCCACGCTCCGCCTGTGATTGGCTGCCGCCGAGGCGGCGGGGTCCTCGCGGGCGGCCCAATGGGCGCTCGGGGCTGCCCGGCGCAGCGCCGGTAGCGGGGCAGCGCTCGGGGCCGCCGCCATCCGCCGCCGGGCCCGCGTCGCCGCCGCCGCCGGGGGACGATGTCGCAGTGCGGGGGCGCCGCCGGCCTCCTGGGCCGCCTCCTCCGCCGTGAGTACCGGGCGGAGGAGGGGGGGCTCGGCGGGGCCCTCCCGCTGCCCGGCAACGCGCTGCGCCCCCCGCGCCGGGCAAGGTCACCGGGCCGGGCCTGGCTGGGCCTGGCCTGGCTAGGCCGGGCCTGGCCGGGCCGGGCGGGCTCGCGGGAGGCGCCGATCCGGAGCCGCCGGGGCCGTTTGTTGCYCTCCTCGCGGGCGGGCAGCGCCGCGCAGGGTCGGTGCGATCCCTGCCGGGCCCGGRGGCGGCTCCGCGCCGGGAAAACCCGCCTAGTTCCCGTTAGAACCTGTCCCGTTCCTGTTTTCAACGCTGCAGTTTTTGGGAAACCTCAGCAAACCCCAGTGTTCATGCACACGAGAAGCTCCTCGTGAGTGCCCTTTGCAGGGTGCTGAACAGCCCTCAATTCGGACTTTGTGCGTGCAGGGGTTTGAGTCRCGGATAATTAACGTCTGCTTTTGCGCGGTGGTGATTCCAAACGACGCGTTTCTCGTGGCTTCTGTTGCAAAAGATCTGGCTTTGCTGGGGCAGTGCAAAAACCAAGCGGACAGGGTGGGATTTCCTCAAAATCGGGAAGCTCCGGAGGTTGTGAAACCACCCCGAGAACCCGAGGGGGTGGTAAGTGCCTGTGCAAAGGTCAGCTCAGAGCAGTGTTTGCATAGGGACCGACACAAGGACATATGCAGGGCTATACTGCACTCCTGAGGAGCCAGCCTCTCTATAGGTGCCTTAACAGGGCTCGGGGTTAGGGCTCTTCCGTGCCAGGTTTGCTAGGAGGGCTCTAGGAAAGAGGCCCGTGTCAAACATTTCAATGGATTGTTTGAATAACCCTGCCAGAAACATTGCTATGGAAATAACAATCCAAACTGAAGAATTCTTCATTTAGTTTTGTGCAGTGTCGTGGGGAGGAAGGTGTCCAGACCTTCAGCTGTGTTTATTCTTAATGGCAAATATGTGGGGAGAGCACTTGGTTTTCCTGCAAGAAATAGCTGGTGTGTGCTGACAGGAATGTGCCCCTTTCCTGAAGAGCTGGATGGTTCTCCAAGGTGCTTTAAGCGATTTAAACTTAGTGCACTTGGGAGAGAGCTCTCCTTTCAAAATGCTGCTCTCTCTCCTGTGACCCCCATGTAGCTGGTGATGTGTGTGGTGATGAATGGGGATCGCTGCTGACCAAAGAGATGTATTTTGAAGAAAAAAAGTCTTTCCTAGTTGTCATTTTGCCTGTTTTATCAGTTTGATGTGGTAGCAGAGTAGCTGTGTCTGGGCTTTATGTACTGGTTAATTTACTCAGGTCCTAACCCCCTGGGCAGGGTTCACAGCTTGAATTTTCTGTGATTTAACTGGGATTTGTTCCGCAAAGGAAGGGTAAGACAAGAGGCTGGAGGTGGGTAGCTAGAAATCCTTCTCTGAGCACATAGTCCTCTATGGGAGAAGGAGTAAGATGCCATGAGTAAACCTCAGTAGTACGAAAACTTTATAGTCAATAAGAACAGCGTAATTCATAACTTTTAAGGTGAATTCTATAGGCAGATTTAGGGGGAAGGAGGGAGTTATTTTGGATAAATATTATGTGTTTAATAATATGTGTGACCTGATAACAGACCCACAGATAATAAAGAAATGGGGTCAGAATCTGTACTGAATATTTTTGTAAGTTCAAGCCTTCAAGTCACTAAACTTTGAAATTAGCAAAGACCAAAGAGCTGCAGCAAGTTACAGAGAGGAATCACTGCCATCTTACCTTGCTTCTGGATTGTGCTCGCTCTGTAGTGAGTAGCTTCAGTTGCTGCTTTAGTTTCCAAACTTTTTTTAATTGATGCACGATAAAAGTGGGCAAGAAAGGGCTGCTTTGAGTGAATCACTGCTTATAGCTGTAAGGAATCTTGTAAGAAATGTTGAAAATGATGAGTTTTTACTTTGCAAAGTGTCCAAATACAGAAGAGATGTAGCCCGAGCATCCGTACTGTGCTGGCTTTTACACCCCAAAGAAGCTGGGCTATTGGGGAATGTCGCAGGGATTGTGTCAGCTAGGAAGAGGTTTGTGCTGTGGAAGTGTCGATGCTACTAGAGCGCTTGAAAACTCAGTATAAGCAGGGCCTGCATCTTGTGTGTGCTCTCAAATGTCTTGCAAATGAGCTAATTTTACTTCTAACAGGAAAGTTGCATCACTTTTMAAATCTGCCCTGCAGCAACAAGGTTTTAGTAGCTGAGTGTTTTTCATACTTGGTTGTCCTCTGCAATGGACTAGAAAAGCTCCTTTATGTGTCTTTCTCAGCTCTGTCAAAGCTGAACTATTAGAAAAGCCAAAATAAGCCATCTTGTTATTTGCATAACGTTTTTTGAAAGTCACAAGCTGTGCCCAGCAGAATAGGGATGTTGCTGAAGCAAAAGGATTGCCTGAAAACAAACAAAAAAAGAACTAGCCAATTCTTAACCTTGCTTTTTAGTACCCTTTTCTGCAGCTTTCTTACAGGCCTTTTTTGACACATTTTTGCTCAGGCACCCAGCTCCAAAGCAGGTCGAGCTCCTGAATGAAGATCCTAGTTGGAAAGTGAGATTTGGTTTCTATTTCTGCCTCTTACCTGCTGTGAACTTAGGCCGGTCCCGTTTTCCACCTGTTTCCTTCTCATCTCGGATTTGTCCTCGTACTTAAATTGCCGCCTGTTTGTGCCCCTTATAGCAAACAGTAGGCTGCAATATCATATCCACAGCCTTTTATTTTTGTTTGTTTTGGTAAATCTCTCTCGTACTAATCCAGTTTAGCAAACGCAAGGTGACTTTTTTTCATTTCTTCCAAAATCTTTAGCTCCCTGCACGTGTGACCGTGCCAAGCTGCTCACGTGAAGATAGCAAACTGCTCAAATCTGTGGATGGGCTTTTTTGAACCCCCTGTGTTTTCTCAAAATAGGGTCTTTTTTCAGGAGTAAATCCATAAAAAGCTTAGAATTTAAGGTCTTTTTTTAGTTATCAGTGCATAAAAATAAATCTTTTTTTTTTTTGGCTACTGTGATAGCTCCAAAAAGACTCAAAAGCCTCTTTTCCTTTAAGAATATCTCTGTATTTTCTTCTCAATAAAGCAGAGAATTGAGAAAGTTAAGCTTCCAAAAACATTTTTGTGACAGCTTATAAATACCTGAAAACAGATATGGAACAGACAGCTGAGCTTGCACCATGGAGCAGCTTTTATGGCGTGAAGATACAAGTGGCCATTTGTCAAAGTGCTGTTTCGAGATAATATTACCAATAAAATTACCAGGCAAGAGAGGCAACCTGTGTGCCTGGCAGATAGTGCTGCCTTTTTTTTTTGCAGGTGAGCTGCTGTCGCCAAAGCAGCGTTTGGGGGCCAAGCTCTGCTCAAGGTGGCACCCGTGACACTGAGCAGCGACACGGTAACATTGCACAGAGCCTCGTAGCTGCGTTTATTAAATCTTGGGCTTTTGTCCATTACTGATCCCTTTTTTTAATCCTTGGCTTCAAAAATCCTGTGACAGTGTCTGTAATAATGCGTGTTGTGTATGACTTCCAATAAATGCCAGTGAAGTAGATAAAGGTAGGTTTAGATTAAAATCTTTCATGCCYCCTTAATGATTTTGTTATAATTTACCCAGTGTCACTTGGTAAACATAGTTTTAAAGTTTGTTTGGATTATTGGGTGTTGATTTGAACATCAGTTGCTACCCCATGGCTCCTTAGGGAACCGCAGCGGCTGGTGGGAGCTGAAGCCCTGGGTTTCTCTTGGCGCTTTCCTTGTCAGGACCTTGGGTATAGGAACAATGGTGAAGTCCACAAGCTGCTTCTGGCATAGCTTTATTTTCCTCTTGGCTTTCTGTGAATAGAAGTAAAGCATAAATCATGGTCTGAGAAAGCTTGATTGTTTTGGGGCAGAATGAAAAAAATAGCTTAACAAAATAACTATCTAAGGCTTTGGACTGTATTCTGAGCTAATGTGTTTCCTCTGTGTTAAAATAGACCAGAAATGTTCGTAGGATTTGTTACTTTATCCCAGGTTAGAAATTACAATATCTGCAGCTACATCTCTTCAACAAACRAAATTGCAACTGGTCCATAAACCCAGTTTGAAATAGTCATGATATCTAGTACTCTCTTTGAGAAATATGTAGGTTGGTTCCTAGCAAAGAGAAATAAGGGTGTTTAATATCTCAGGATAGCAAGTCATAAATACTTAAAAATTTCAGCTCTGCTTCTTAATTTATGGAACATTGGATCAGTGCAAGCCTGAGTATGTGTGTGCTTATTTCATAGGGCATTTTACAACTTTATTGATTAGAGCCTCTAACAATTTGGTCTCTCTCTTCCTGTAGTGCAGCCGAGTGGAGTGCGACACTGCTCCTACGCGTCCTCGAGGAAGAATCTRTATATTAACAAAAGCACAAAGGTTGTCTGTCAGGGGTTTACAGGCAAACAGGTATGTGCTCAAGCAGAAAACTTGTTCTTGTATCGTCTCCTTTAGATTACTGTTTGTTGTTGTTGATTTTGGTCTTTAGCCTGTCTGCAGTATATGATTAAAAGCATTTATTTGTAAAGGAGTTGTGTGGGTATGTGTCTTTGTTTTGTATTTTAAACCTATAAAAACCTTTCAGTTTTATATGTGCCTTTTTCACAAATGTCTTTGAATAAAAAGGCAATGAATGCTCTTTGTTACTGAAGCAGATGGGTGATGCTGAGGCCTGTGCGTTTGACTGGTGTTGTTGGTTCGCATTCGTATTTTGTTTAATGTATTTTCATTTTGCTTAGTGATGTAAATATTAATTTGARCTTTTGCCTCTAAACAAGAGACTGACACTTGCTGTTCCCTAGTTTTTGTATTTTTAATTTTCTGCGATTTGAAATCCCCCTGTTTATTAGCAAAGTTCATGTTCATATTCTGTAAACAGACTTTTTCGCTTATTTAGTGTTTTGTTCACTGAAGTGCTGTTAYCACTGCAAGCACATGTTGCTGTTGCAGATTCCCACTGAAAAAAATCTAGATTTTTAATTTCTATTTTTATTTCAGTACATTTAATTATTTTCTCACACTCATTTGCATGGAGATAAGACTGCTCTTGCTGTAAGTATCAACCAGTCGTGGATGAGAATGCTAATTTCTTCTGCTTCATTATCGTGGTTGTCATCTGCYAGAGCTGATGTGGAAAATAAAATGACTGCTGTGTCTGGAGGTGTGTTGGGAACACAGAACAGACTGTCATGCTTTAGTGTGCAGCCAGAGTGCTCTTATTTAAAAGAAAAAGGCATAGCACATTCTGGATCTGTGTAAAACTTGTTGATGCAGTCTGCAAAAAGGCTGATTATATATCTACAGTAAAATCATGTGTTTCATTGTAAATTTAACTACTATGCTTTGCCTTCAGAGTTGTAGATGTGATCMAACTTTTGATATGCTTTATTGGCTATCGTGAGCCTTTTAACTTTTCTACTTATCKTCTCTCCTAGGGCACCTTTCACAGCCAGCAGGCACTGGACTATGGCACAAATCTMGTTGGAGGAATTTCTCCAGGAAAAGGGGGCAAAACTCATCTGGGCTTGCCTGTCTTTAATTCTGTAAAGGAGGTAATTTGCAGCAATAATGAGAGAGGTGGACACAGTTTATTCCAAGAACTAATGTTGCAGAAGGGCTCTCTTTTTCCCTGCTCATGCTTGAGGAAAAAAAAAAAGAATTGAAATAAGAATATCATTATTTAAGAAATAGAACAGAGGCTCTGTAATATTGTGAACATTTGCTGTGGTAATGTATGAAGAATGTGGAGAAGTTTAGCTGCTGCTTTGTTGTTTGCAGAGCCTGGATACTTAGTAAAACAAATGATTTTTACCTCCTGGGTTTTGCATGTAACTAGTTTCTGATTTTTTTCTGGTGTGTATGATGAACTTATGTAATAATTTCCTGAAAGGATGGTTTGGGAGGGAAACCCTTCTAGAGATCAGTTAGGTCCTCAGTTCCCTAATTGCATGGTGTGTGTGTGTGTGTCTCCATCTTTAAAGACTTAACGTTTGCTTTGTCTGTAAGTGACCATATATCAGTTCACTTYATGGCTGCGGTGGACATATTTGGGTGCCACTTGTCACATGTTTTCTTTGGGCCCACTAAGTGTTTGATGTCTTTTTGTTGCTGCCTGTTTTAGGCCAAGGAACAAACTGGTGCTTCTGCCACTGTTATATATGTCCCTCCTCCGTTTGCTGCTGCCGCGATCAACGAAGCGATCGATGCGGAGATGCCGTTGGTTGTGTGCATCACTGAAGGAATTCCCCAGCAGGACATGGTTCGGGTTAAACATAGGCTGCTCCGTCAAGATAAGACTCGACTAGTGGGCCCAAATTGCCCTGGAGTCATCAATGTAAGTGACTTCTGGATTTGTGCCAAGGCTGAACCATTCTTAGTGATGGTTTCATTGTTCCACCTGACGTTTCCTAATCTTTCTTTAGCCTGGAGAATGTAAAATTGGTATCATGCCGGGACACATTCACAAGAAAGGAAGGATTGGTGAGTTTTTGAATACTTACGCATCATCTAAAACTCAAGTTTTGTACCCTCTTGTTCTTAATCAGCAGTCTAGTTACATCCTCCCCTGAAGTCAGTTAATATGCCATGTAACAGCTTATCTGTTTGTAAGTGAATTTAGCCATTATCAATCCTGAAGGCCAAAATCTGTCTGCTGTAGCAGACCCTGAATGTTAATGGTAGAAACCACAAGAACTGGGAAGGATCCCTTAGGTGGACTTGATGCTTTTGTTTGAGCATCCTTCTTTTATCTTTGAATTTGAGAGCACTAAGTTCCCAAATGCTAATCCTTCTGACTGGGATCTGATATTTGTACTGAGTTTAGTATTTTAGCAAAGATAAGAGATTACAAACAACTTTATAATGTGAGAACTTGGGCAATTATACCATGGTAAATGGCAGTGACAAATATTACACCTGCTTGTTGGAGATTGAGAATTGGATCAGAAAGGCAGTGATGGGTCCATGATCAGATCTTAATTGCACACCCTGCTGCATGTAAACCTGGAATCCTGACTTCTTTTGGTTGCATGTTGTAAACCATAGGAAGAACAACTTCATTATTTTTAAAATAATGCAGTATAGAAACTGAAGAAAATTATTCCTAAATGTGATTTGAAATAAATAGCACTTCAGAAATATTGCTGTAGACAAAGTGCTTTGCCAGTATTTCTCGGCAGCATACTCTGTTTAACCTAAACACAATACTCCTTTAACAGAAAAAAATGATAAGATTGCAAAGTGAATTTGCTGTGGAGAAAGCTGTTCAGTGCACTAGAACTAAGGGGCTTCAATGCAGTTTTTGTAACAAGAGAGACTGTCTTTGCTACATGGCCACTTCTGAYTGGAGATTAAGCTGTACCTACTGACTGCTAGACCACACCTGAGCACTCGGGTCACCTACAGCTTTCAGAAGAACTTTTAAACCTGAAATTGAAGAGTCRAAGACAACTGTGATTATGCCCTTTGTAGATACCATCAAGCCAGTGCTCTGTGACTATGTAAACAGCATCAACTGGTGTTGCCTTGTTCCCTCCTGAATCAAAATTCTGTTAAAACTACTTTGGAAAGGTCTTAAAGAAATGTTTTGCAATCACAATACATGAGAATCCAAATACAAGGCACATCAAGTGCAGGAGAGATTTAAAATCCTGAATCAGTTTGTTCCACTACTGCTGGAAATATATTTGGTGGTGATCCAAGAATCACCAAGAGAAAATATGAACGTTACCATCCTCCCAGCTTCCTTTCAGGCCATGACCTTCGGTGAAATGCTCCCCAGCTTTCTGTTCCTGTGAGGCATCCAAACATCATCTGGTAATTGTGGGACACATGCTGTAAAATTAGCCAGTCTTTGGACTACGTCTGTAGCTACTGTCAGGCAATATGATGTGTGTTTTTGCTTAGTTCATGCATTAATTACATTGCATGTTAGAAGGATTGAAACAGGTAAATGTGGAAACATCCTTTTTCTAAGAAACTGCCTTCCAGTATTAGTGRCAATATTGGGAAAACACATGTCAATATCCTTCTCTGCCCCTTCCCACCACTGCCTCTTTGCTGTTTTCTTAATTTAAAACTATTCAATGAATCATTTGCTTTGTAGGAAATCTGGTACAGTGAAGCCTGATAAAGATTGTGGCCTCTGATAATACCTTATAATGTAAATTTTAACTATTGATCATAGAGCAAGGGGCAGCAGCAACAAATAAGATTACTTGTGTCTGTGCAGTGTCTTTTCATTTTGGGGTATCTCTCATATGTCCAGCCATATTGCAGATAATACAGAATTCTTGCAAATGTTGAGCTGCTGCCATGTTTCAAGTATAGTGTATCAGCTACTTGTGTACAAGATGAGAAATAYGTTCTTCTAGCAGGTTTTGTGTAGTGTAGTGTCTATGACACAGCTATAATGTGGGAGATGCCATCTCAGCCAGTATCACTGGCTTGCTGGGCAGCTGTAARCAACTGAAAGTTCAATGTCAAAAATTCCAGCCAAAAAATAGTACAGATCTCATGTAGAGKTCTTACCTTTTTACCTGGAAAACCTGGCAACTTGTGTTTAGCTTATTAAGGCTTTTTTTCCTGAGTATAAGAACAACTGTCTCTAGTCATGCACTGTATTAGTGTGAAACTATTCTTTCTTTCTTTCTCCCCTAAAGGTATTGTGTCAAGATCTGGCACCCTGACATACGAAGCTGTTCATCAGACAACGCAGGTTGGATTAGGGCAGTCTTTCTGTGTTGGTAGGTTTCCACAGAAGCAGAACTGGACTAATCTGCCTTTTATTTAGAAGAAATCCAAAGTAATTTATTCTTAAAAGTCTACGAAGTGCCGAACGGCTTCTTAATTTGTTAAGACATGAGATCTCTAGGTGTTGTGAGGAATGTAAGCTGAAGAGTGTAAGCCTGCTGTTACTCTTTCCATGTCAAATTAATAAAAAGCTTAGAAAAAAAGGGTTTGATGGAACGTCAACAAACATGAAGTAAGTATGACAAAGAGCTGTTCTAAGGAATTTAATATTCTGTAAAGAGATATGCCATTCTTTCTTACTGAGCTGGCTGTGTTAAGCAAGATGGCTCATTCATTTCTAATAGGAAATTTGTAGGGCTGGGGCCTTGGCTTTACTGGAACTTGTGCAGAGCTTCTGAGAAGCTCTATGAAAGGTCTAACAGCTTGTGGTCTGAGAGGTGGGATCTTGCAAACATTGAGCTTTAATATTAAAGTCTTGTGTAAATTATGGGGGGTTCCTGGGGTAGGAACTTGTGCTCTCTGTATTTGGGGAGGAGCATTCAGAGGTTTCCCTCTTACCAGTCTTTGAGAGACTGATAAGAGACTGATTTCCTGCTGAAATGTGCATTGACAGCCTTAACATAAATGGAATATCACTAATTTGAATACCATTTTTGTGGATTTTTATTTTTTTTCAGGGATTGGAGGAGATCCCTTCAATGGAACTAATTTTATTGACTGTCTTGATGTCTTCCTGAAGGATCCTCATACTGAGGGGATCATATTGATTGGAGAAATTGGAGGAAATGCTGAAGAAGATGCAGCAGCATTCTTGAAAGAAAATAATTCTGTAAGTCGTAAAGCCCGCTTTCTGCTTCCAGACACCTTGGTAGTTAGCTGTCTTGCTATGTCAAGGAAAATGTGATTTAGTCTCTATATGTAGACAAAAGCAAACAACCATACTGTTATTCTGGAGAAAGAAAGGAATTTAGAAAGGGCTTTAACCAGGTTAAATTAAACTGAAATGTTCTGACAGCTTTAGATTCTTAGTCTTGTGGTGTYGTTTGTACTAATCATCATGGTGTTATGATGTGGGCATTTCCTTTGTGTTTCTTTTCTAATATATGGAGCTATTTTGTAGAGAGATGTCTTTAAAAACATGGTTTATACTGTGAAGAAGTATTCCATGCAGTATTCCACCCAGACTAGTGGTTCCACATTGCTTAGGTTTTCTAGTTGTCTGATATCTTATCCTGAATAGTCAATATTTTTTATAACMGAATCAACCAGCTGGAATTGCTTTTCTTCTCACTCTTCCCCACGTAACCCAGTATTTTTACTTTCTCTGCAGGGCCCGAACGCCAAACCTGTAGTGTCCTTCATAGCTGGGCTGACTGCCCCTCCGGGCAGGCGGATGGGTCATGCTGGGGCAATCATTGCTGGAGGCAAAGGTGGAGCCAAAGAGAAGATAGCTGCTCTTCAAAGCGCTGGTGTTGTGGTCAGCATGTCTCCTGCTCAGCTAGGCAGCACCATATACAAGGTTAGTGACTTGGACGCTGTGGTTTTGCATTCAGAGTAAGACAGAAGAGACTTTTTTGAGGGGAAAAGGGGTTGGGAGTATGCTTTTTACCCAAGTATTCTGTGACTTTTAACGTAGCTAAATGCAAGAGCTCTATCAAGTGAACAAGCTGCAGTTATTACTGCAGGTATTAGATGATATGCACGAGTAATTGTATGTAATACTGCTTTTATGAGAACATAAGCATAACACAAAGTGAAAGTGATGACATTTTACGCTCAAAGATACCAGCTCTTGAATTGTGTTTCCTGGATGCTATCAGGGGATGCAAAGAACCTGAATTAGTTTTAAATGAGAAAACACTCTTTGAGTAGGGTATTTGAGGCTGGAAAGCTTAGGCACGTAGATAGGCCTCTTTTAAGTACCAATTCAGAATCATGGCTGAATGCACACAACTAGTAAGATTCTGCATGGAATAGGATTTTGTTTGTTTGTTTTTTAATTCTTCTCAAAAAAATATGTTCTCACAGCTAGAAGAAATGCCACTGTGCAAATGGTCCTTTTTTTTTTCTCTTGTGATAGCTGTATAGTATAGTATCTTCACAGGTCATTGCACAAGGGACTTTTTTCTGTGTTTTTTCTTGTACTAAAGTGGAGATCCGATCCTAACAATGTCATTGCTTCCCTGGCTTGAATGCTTCTGCTTAATTAGTGTTTTTCAAGCCTGCTAGGATAAACAGTTACTTGACAGCACTGCAGTCTTGATGCAGTGCAATGATTGCGGTATAGTGCAGCTGGTTCTTCACAGCCAGTTTGCTTCTTAGAGGTGAGAAAATACTTGTCCTGCACTCTCCTCTGCTCCCAAACAGTGTAGTTTTCTTATTTTAAATTTTAGTTGCAGCTTTTAATTCCTAAAGTCAAGAGTTCCTTAAAAAAAAAAAAAAGTAATCTAAAACATACCAGTAATAGAAGTGTRTCACGTTCTTCCACTTGGGATATGTGTGTGCTATTGCAGGAGTTTGAGAAGAGGAAAATGCTGTAAGYGAAGACACTGTGGGAAACGGTCTCCAAAACACCAGTGAAGCACCTGGCCTCCGCTTATCTTTTTGTCTGCTAGTCTTCAGTTGCCCAAATKACTGACACAGGTCTTTGAATTTGACTTTGAAGCCATAAACCTTTTGGCTAAACCTGTCTCGATGTCTCCTTGGTTCAGACGTGATCACCYGATTGTAAATCGCAGCAAACTAATAAATCCACTACTAAACCTGATTCATCTTCTGAATTCCTGAAGCAGAGCCATTTCTTCAGTCATCATAAAGAAAATCAGTCGACCTTGAAGGTTTGAATCTCTTGTAACTTAAGCACTGCCCATTTTTAAAGTCWCTTCCAGAGATGCTTTTAACGGTCAAGGCACTGACTTTGTGCACATATCACACTTTGCTTTGCTTTAAAAATAAAGTCTTACTTGTTCATTGTTGGCAAGTACATTTGTTTAAATGATAGGCCAAAGTTTCCGTCCATTAAACCAAAGCTGCTGGATCTGAAGGGATTGCTTGTTAATTCAGAGCTGGATATGCCTCAAGTCCAGACTTCCTTTTGAAGGCTGATGAGCCATGCTCACCTCCACTGGCAAGGAATTCTGCTTGCTGTTCTGTGAAGAGATGGAATTTATGTTCATAAATCTGAGTGAGATTTCCCATGTGAAAGTATATTCAAAATGATCTGTAACCATGAAAAGGATTTAGGTTTTTGCTTACATGAATTTCCTGTTTAACCGTAAAAGCACCGTAAAAGTGTTGTTTGTGTGTTCTGAAGTCCTAAAAACACTCAGTGCATAATGGAGGAGAACAGTTATTCTCAGGAAAGAATGTAATAATGTGTCTTTCTTGTTAATCACTCCAAAATCCATAGTGGAAAGCCCTGTTTTACTCTGAAATAGCCCAGATACAGTGCCTATAATAAATGAATTCTACAAGTTTTATCAGGCTAGGCTAAGCCCTAGATTGCTTTCTTAATGCAGAGGACTGAAAATTAATTCATGTGGCCTGGCACTTGTCTAAAGCAAACTTTGTTTTCCATAAAGGTGCTGTTACAAAAACTTGTGTTGTTATTTGTTTAAAAGGGTTCATAGTTTTCTCACTGAAACACTTTACCATTTTATCTTCCACTTTGCAAGCAAGGAGCGTCTTGCCAGCAATGAAGCATCTTGATGGTGACATTTACAGTTCCCAGGTCTAAGCCCTGAAGAAATGTGTAAGAGGACAGGTCATATCTGTGCTGCACTGAAGATATATTAATATGCTGCATTTACAGGAAGGCATTAATCAGAGGCTCTCTGGCCTGAGGACAGAGACCAGATACTGCATTATTCACCTTGGTATGCTTTACCAAGAGCTGATGCCACGGCACTAGCTGCCTAAAAAGATGCATTGGGTGATAAATTGTTTGATAAGGCCTATGACAACTCAAAGGAGTTTCTTACTAGATCTGTACAGCTTTCAAGTGGAGTCTGGTTTAATCTGAAGGGATGGAAAAGAAAGACCAAGCAATGGCCTTTAACTAGAGAAACACCAAGGTTAAACATGTTAGTCTGTGTAAGAGTCCGATTCTTCAGTAGGGTATGGCAGAATATTACAGCTCTTTTAATGAGCTTGCTAATTAAGATAATTCATTGTGGTGGTGGGCTTCTTTATAATGTGTTTTTTGGGGAGGACTTGTTGGTGAACTGCCTGAGTTGCGTCAGTGTCATCAGCGTTGTAATAATCGACCTGCCAGGAGAGCTCGAGTGTCACGAGCTGCTGCTCGAGCTTCTTCCATGGAAGCCCTTCTAAAGGCACCGGCCTGATTAGAAGGTAACTGTAAAACTCAGTGACTGTTGTCCCTTGGAAAAATGCTCCCTCGTGTCTTGGAGTCTGAGGATGGGTTTAAAAACACGATAGTGATTCCAGTCTGGTTGCCTGGTCCTGTTGCAGGCTCGTGYGGCCACCTTGCTCTGTGCCAGCCTGGACTCAGTGTCTCTTTATCTGACAGAAAGGCTTCAGTTTCGCAGCTTTTTGTTGCTGCTGAAAATRTACCCTTGGCAAATATTATCACAGCCCTTCATATTGCTGAAGAAAATATTGCTTTGGAAAATATATTTGCATCCATTCAGTATCATAGAGGCTTGTGAATAAATATTTTTAATAATGTGATCTGGGAAATTGATCTCATTTGTCTCCCTCCTTCCCCCAACTTTACTAATGTTACTGCTCGATATTTCACTAAGCTTTTCTTAAGGTCCAGAGGTTTTCTCAAGACAGACTTGCAATATTTGGGGTTCAAAAATTGCTTGTGTCTTGATGGGATAAGTTCTAGATGCCCCTTTTAGTCAGAGAATTTCATCACAGCGCTTATTTTTTGTGGGTCTAAGAGTAGCAAATGCAGCTCTTTTTTCAGAGGAAAGGGAAGTCACTAGACTTTTCTGCTACTTGTCTTACAGTGATACTGGATGTCTTTATAGCCCTGGTCCTTGGTGTTAATGCTATCTTTTTAATATATAAAAGCATGGTTTTAAGAGTGTGTTAGTGCCTAATTTTTCTTTTGTGGTTGTACTGCTTTCCCAGATTGCTTTTGTTATGTAGTTTTAGGAGAGGACACAGTGGTCAGTTATTCTGCATATCTCTGCACTTGAAGAGGCAATCTAACTCTAGATCCTAAGAAGAGAATTTCTGAGACTCCGCTTCCTGAAACTTGCTAGTGAAAGCAAAAGGAAACATCAATTCCAATTTGTTGGTTAAAACGTGCGCTGCTTTGTGAAGGGGAAGCTGCTGAAAGATGGAAAACGCTCAATTCAGGTATCAGGCTGCTCTTACAATTGTATGTGATTATTCAGGAAAGGGTGGTGGGTCTCTCAGTAGCGACTGTGGCAGTCTCTGAGGTTCCTGATGGTCCTTCAGGCCGTCACATCTCTTCTGAAATTGCCGGTCTTCTGCGYCTTGGTCACTTTTATCCCTTCATGCTGGACTGAAATCCCCCTGGGCCCCAGCAGCGCTCCGACAGAATCACAGAATATTCAAGGTTGGAAGGGACCTCTGGAGATCATCACAGACAGCTGCTGTGCTGAGGTGCTCTGGTTAAACTGAACGTGCAGCTTAACTCCTTGCATGTAAAATAACAGATTTAAAGCTTTGAGGTGAGGAGAGGAACAGTCACTAATGGCCTCCCTGGGTAACAAATGGATCAGAAGTTACGCTCTGGCAGAAGGGTGCTAATGAAGTAGTATGAAAGCACCTGAAAAGCTGCCTTGTCCTTCAGCCCGGGGTGACAAGTGGCCTCTGCTCAGACTCTGCAACTGTCGCCTGCCGCCCTAGGGCTCAGATCCCCTGGCAGCGGCCGCCTGAGGTGCTGGGATGGGTCACGTTGGACCGGGAAAGGGAATCGCGAGCCAGCTTTGGGGCACATAGTTACCAGCAGCCCCAGCTGCTTTGCCAGCACTTGGAGCATTCGAAGTGTGTGATAAAACCCGACGGCTTTCCACAACATTTGTGCGACCTCAAAAAAGAAGAGAGATCAATCTCTGCTTACACAAACCACAAACATATAATTTGAGAGGGGGAAAATGCTCCCCCGTCCTGTAATCTCTAAGCCGCACGCAGCAGCGTTTGTTCTGAGGATTGATGCAGTGGCCTGTAACGAGGTCTGCRCTGTGCAGATACGTAATTAACGGTCTCTTAAAACCTGCTTTGGTGCTCTAGGAGATAGAACAGCAAATTTATAGGTTTTGGCACATCTGTAATGTTTTGAGACAATGGCTTCTGAAAAGATCCACACATCTCCTTTTCGTTTGTGGTTTTGCTCTCTAGGTGGCAGGTTTTGACCCTAAACATGGTTTTGGTTCCCACTCTGGGCTCAGAGGCTGAAAGCACGTGAGGGAAATTAAAGCTCAAAGCAAGAGCACCACAGCTTTATTTTTTCTGGCTGTTATATTGATTTGCAATCATATTCTTTTAGGTTAGTTGGAGAGAGAGAGAGTAAAACTGCCTTTCCTCCCTGCTTGTTCTTCAGGCTGGTCTGAGTAAACTTGTGCGATCCGTGTGGCTTGGGCGCTCAGATGGGACCTGGTGACTGATGATCACTGTCCAGCATTGGCTTAGAGAAACATTTATCTCCATTTTGAAATGGACAAGAAATATCTTGAATAGTTTCTGCAAGAGTTTAGCAAGTCTGACTTTTTTTTTTTCCCTCCATTCAGTTGTAGGGCAAGGCTGGAGGAGAGGAACATGTGGGGATATTAGGAAAGTGAGAACAGAATTGCCAGGCCTGAATGGATTTTTATTTTTATATTTTATTTTTTCGATTTAAAAAATAAAACTCAACCAGTGGGTGATAAAAGTCACCAGCTGCTCTCTAGAAACTCCTTAGAGAGAAAGGGGGAAATTGTGCTCCTTGGAAGGAACCATCTTCCACCCTGTTACCATACAACAATTTCCCTCTGTCTGGACCTGTATCCATCTTCCCCACGACCCAGCGTCGTGCAGGAAGTTTCTGCCAGTCGGGAAGCCGAGGCAGATCTCCTGCAGTTTCAACTCACCTGAGTTTCCTTCCCGATTTCTAGTTCATGCAGATTCCCCCCACTAGGCACTCTTACATTGTCCTCATTTCTGATGCACTGAACACAGCAGCAATCTCTATTTTTCAATTTCTCCTCATCATGATAAACCCCCTTTCTGTTGCATTGTGTTAATAATTTACTTAATGTGTCTTTTATAAACCATATGAGAATACCAAGTTCTGATTCTTGTATGGGAAACCAAAAGCATGCAACATTTATCCRTTCTTTCTAGCAGTGACTGAAGTAATGATGGGAAACAGTATAATTAAAAAGCATTCTTTCGGGCTGGAAATTGTAATTGCATTGTCAATTTTATGGCAGCAGCCTTCAAAAATAAACAAGAACTATTCAACTAAAGCAAATGTGCTCAGCTCGTTTCCAGGGCTCTGTTCTGTGGTGAGTGTTGCTTTTTTCTTCCCCTTCTCTGGCGTCTGAGCACGCCCTGAACACAAATATCCTTCCTAACTTGGTACTTAAGTGACAGTGTTGCGTTGTCCTCCCTTACCTTTAGTTTATGGTTAAAATAAAACTGATAATAACAGAGTTGCTGCAAAGTCCTTGTACTCATAAATTTAAGATACCCCCCCATTTTCCTCCCAGCTGAAGAATTTTCCTATAGGCAGCACTGGAGCCCCTCCGTTAACAACTTTATGAGCTGACACCTGAAGAATGAAGTGTTGTTCCTTGCAAATTATTTTCTAGATTGCCACAAAAATATACATTATTGTGTCATGAAGTGGCAACTGTATTAATCTGGTTAGATATTTAAGATTGGTTACTGTCATAAATCAGCCCTTGCCTGCCATGTTGTGCTGAAAATACAATCGTTTTTGCAATGATCTGTACAGTTAAAAACATTTTTTTAATTTTAATACATCTCCAATTCATTAACAGCCTGTGTATTTACTGCTTAAAAAATCATATGCAAGATTTTTGTGCAAATCTGCACCATCCTTTCAGTAAAGCATCAGGGCAAATGTTTGGAAGTTGTTAAAAAGAGGAATTATTTCATCAGGAGAATAAAAGAAGAATGAGAACAGCTCAGCTGAAAAGATTGCGTTGTCGGTCGTGATTTAATGTGTGAATAGTATTAGCAGTATGGGGAGAACGTGTTCTCCTGGATAGGTTGTTTTATGTTGTTAGAGTCTGTGTGCTGGGATTCACCACTTGAAACTATGTTTTTTTTCAGTGGATGGTTGTAATAACTAGATTTTCCTTAATTTCTTTCCTGAATATAAGGAAGGATTACCCGAATGCCAGTCATGCAGAAGCTGGAAGGTGGCTTAATTTAAAGGAAGTCACGATTAAGTTTAGACCAAAAGCAGATTGCCATCTCTAAGATCTAGTGTATTTCTCATCTTAACTCTGCTTCTTTGGTGCCCCAGGAGTTGTGTGTTCCTATGAGAATGCCACGTTATTTTAATACCTRTATCACTATTAGGAGTGCAAGTTTGTTTTTTCCTTCCTTTGGGCTGTGGAGAAAAGCCTGAAAATATGACTTGTCTTCAACCTAAGGGCACAGAAACTGAAACCTGGGCAATGCCACCTGCTCTGGAGGTGGCTGAAGTCACCAAATCCTCTCAGAACAGTTCCTGTGGCAAAAACATAACTGAGGGGGCAATTGTTTTTGGATGCCCCCAACAGAATTTTCTAGTCTTTGCAGGTTATTACATTAAGCAACCCAGGAGGAATCTCCAGAAAGGACCTGAATATGGAAGAAACAGAAGAGTTATTTCCTCACCTGACCTCTTCAGTGGAGGTGAGTCACTTGCATCAGGTCTGAGAGGTTATCCGATGGCAAGAAGTAGGTTCCAAGTGGTCTGGCTAGAGGAGAATGGAGAGCTGTGGAAGTGGAAGTCTAACCTGTTGCAGAGCCTGCCTAGCACTGCAAACTGGAAACATATTTAACCTGATAAAATATGAAGCTCAGGGCTGTGTTCATTGATACCAGTGAATTCATAMGGGACAGACAGGGCTTCAAACACTGTCCCACAGTCATGTGTGCAGTTTTATTGCTGGGATGCTTACTCCTATGGCTTTGGCCTTCAGCAGTGGATGGATATTAGCAGAGCAGGCTTTGATTTAGTCAGCGAATTACTATACAAAGTGTCTTGTAAAGCTGTGTTGAGGAGGAAAAAGTGCCCCTGATTGCTGGTTAAAATGCAAAGGAGCCTTAGTAAAGGCCTAGGAATGAACCACGCTGTTGTGCAGGAGGAYGAGGAGTTTGTGCAGAAGCTCTGCTTGTCTGAGCAAGGAGCTTCCTGATGAGCTGAAGGCAGAAAGGGAGCACACAAGAGGTAGAGACAAGGAAACAAAGGAGAAGTATGAAAGCATCTCTCAGGTGTGAAGGCTCAAACCTGTCTGGAAAGAAGACTAGAGAGAGATGTTAAGGGTTACAAGAAGGGAGCCAGGAGGCCATGGTATAGATAGATATATAGAGAGACTACGACCATAGT